AAGTGGAGGAATGCTCAATGCTCCGGGCCTATTGTGTGATAGTAAAGTACCGCTTAGATTGAAAGGAAAATTTTATAAGACAGTGGTGAGACATGCAATGCTTTATGACACTGAATGTTGGCATTTAGAAGAGAAACATAAAACTAAGCTTAAGTGTTGCCGAGAGTTGCCGAGATGAGAATGATCATGAGAATGATCAGGTGGATGAGTGGGTTTACACTTAGAGACAAAATGCGAAATGAATTTATTCATGATAGGGTCGGTGTAGCTCCATTGACAGACAAAATTATAGAGAGCTTAGATGGTTTGGTCACATTAAACTTCGACTATCATTAAACTTCGACTATCACATTAAACTTCGACTATCTGATGATCCGATTAGAAGTGTAGATGTTTTAGATTTAACTTATGTTAAGAAAGACAGAGGTTGACCTAAGAAGTCTGGGGCATATTGTATAAAAAATGATCTTAATTTATTAGAATTTCATGAAAATATTACAGTAATGCTCTGTTTGGCGCAGCTGCAGCTTCTTAGTTTTTCAGTTATAGCTGCGCTGCCCCAGGAAGTTGCTGCAGTGAAGCTGACTGTCTGTTTGGTGCCGTGTGAAAATAGCTGTGAAGCAACTGTTTCTGAAAAAAATAACCATGCTACCCCTGTTTGGTAAAACTGTTTAAAACAGAATTGTGACAGCGATATTTTGATACTTCTAAAGCAGAAATTCACACCGAAACAATTCAAAAATTCAGATGTAGACACAAGAACTACATATGAAACATGTTTAACAAGTGAAGGAAATCAAATTCTTATCAGATTCACATAAAAGAGCAGCTAATGCAGTTCTACCTCAATCAGGAAAAATATTGATTACAATGATTTATGATGTTAATCTATGGCGGTATCAAATTATGCAAAATGATGATTTAACAAATATTAACCAATTAAAAGCAATAAAAATTGCTTACAGAACAAGTGATCATCCAAGCTTCCATGCGACATATACTCATAAACAAAGAGCCCGTCACATCCTTCTGAACGGTAGCCGATTTAAATTAACAGGATTGGGATGATGCAGCTTCCGTTTAGGTTGTAGGGAACCGTTTAGTTTGTAGGGAAGCTAAGGAAAAAAAAAGTATAAATAAAAATTAATTAGCTGAATAGGAAACAACAGAGCTTGATTTGGTATTTCCTAACTCATTTTTCATTCCATTCTCTCAAATCCTTGTCAGCCAATCGGAGTGTTAATGATCTGCAAGTTTATCAATCCATTGAATCAGAGGACCTGGGTAACTCTATCCTATCCTTGATCCGCTGGATCTTCTTCTCCTTCTTTGGCCTCGCATTCCTAAGCGATCCCTTCTTCCCATGCTTTGTTTTCTTATCACCACGGCCGCAAGTCCTTAAACCAGTTTCTGTAGTTTCTGGCGAGAAGGAGGTTGAGGTTGAGGTTGAGGCTGAGTGCGAGAAGGAGAAAATCACGTGTTGTTCCTTCAGCTGCTGCATCCACCGCCTTCCGAGTAACGCATCATGTCCGCCTCGCTCATTTTGCCTCTCGTTCACGAGAGAACTCACTTGCTCGATAAGTAGAGATTGGGGAGCGCGGGGCAAATGAGGTAAACACCGATCAGTAACGCGGGCCACGGGGTCAATCCTGCGGCCCGCGTTCCGCTTATTTTAGTGGCGGGCGGCTGCCGAACGCCGCATCAAACGAAAAATTTTATATCAGTTTTGCAGTTTGGGGCCGCGCCGCGCGAAATACGCGGGCCCCAAACGAAGCCTAAATAAGACGCAATTGAGAAAAAAAGATTCATGTAGCCGACCCCACTTAGTGGGATAAAGATTTTGTTGTTATTGTTGTATAAAACATGCTCATTGTGATTGCTGCACCTTATTTTGATCACATAAGCTGACTACAATGAAAAAAGTCAATTAGGAAAATTTAATGAGAAATTGAAGGAAAATATTTTTCTCGGATACTCATTTTTTTCCAATGGTTTAAAAGGCATTCAAGCATCAAATAAATTTTGATGAGTTTCAAAGTTGTGCCCTCGCTCTGTGGAGCTCATTACAAGTTTGGGGATTAATTTAGCCCACTATCAAGAAGTCATTGTCAATGCCAGACCAACACCTGCCATGGATAAATTCATTAGGGGCATTTGTGTATGTAAATCTTTCTTTTCATTAGAGGCATTTACATACATACTACTCAATTCCTATATATTTACATACTAACTTCTAAATTTTATTTTACATTTATATCGCCCAAATCTTTCATATCATCTCAAAAATACTATTTTTTTAAAAGTGAAATGCACCTTTTCATTATCATATACTAATTTAATTTATGTAAAACTGCAGAAGGAAATTAAAATAAAAGAGCTTTCAAAGAAAAAAGAATGGAGGAAATCCAGGCCTACAACCCCATCAGAGGTGGACTTATTTTTAGCACTCATTGACATTAAAGTTGTCTCCAGGGTGCTGAGGATGGCTCGCATCAGCGAAGAGCAGCTGCTGTGGTGTGAAGAGAAGATGAGCAGGTTGGATCTATCAGACAACAGGCTCAGAAGGGATGCCAGCCCAGTTCTCTTCCCTTGCTGATCTGTAACTACTCTACCGTTCCTGCTGACTGTAAGAGGAATATTTGAGTACGTAATTGCTCACTCATTGTGTGCTTTATTATTATTATTATTATTGTTATTGTTTCTGTTGTTAGGAGTGCACAATGAGTACTCAGGTTTTTACTCCCATGGTAGGAATTTGCAATTAGTTTCTAGTGTTACATGATTTTTTGTTGCATGGGAGAATTGGATGTAAGGAAAAAATGCGATGAATTGAGTATAAGAGATCTATGTTGGCTTTATTTCTTCAAGTTTGGGCCAACCTTGGGAGTTTTGAGAATTTAATTATTTATTTATGGAATATTTGCGTACCTAGCTCACAATTCTTATGTATTTAAATGTCTCACACCTGAACTTTGATATTTGTATGCATAACATGATATCGGAGTTGAACAAAGAGTAATAAACAAACAAATATAATTGCTAAATAATTCATAGTCAGTTAGCAGGAACATACTGAAACATAAATAACGACAAACTCAACACAAAAGTATGAAATTGCGATAAATGACCACAACTCAAACTAGGACAATGTTGGTGATCTATGTGGGTTTAGTCCTCCAAAGAAGTGTTGAATGGTGGGCGAAGGGCTGGAAGGTTGTTGGTAGCAAAGTTGTGTGGGTAATCGTGAGGAGGAGGTGTGAAGCTGTAGGAACTACTTGTGGTTATTGTTCTGGGTGGGGGCATCAAGAAAGAGTGGTTGAGCTGCGGGTGAAGAGGCTAGCGTCGAGTGGTGCCAATCCAAAGAAGGTGTTGAACAGTTGCAACAATTGGGTAGGTGGTTGGGAGGGGAGGAGGGGGGGCATTGTGTGTGATGATGGCACTAGCTTTAGGATGAATACAGAGGAAGGGAAGTTCAAGATGAATGTCCCATCAGGAATGAGCTATAGTTAGAGCCCACTCAAGCCATGGAGGGCAATCATCGCCTTGGAATGAGATACAACTGAGACACCACTCACTCTTTGATACAGTCCTAGAAGGAAAAACAGGGGACCCCGACGACTGTCCTGACAGAAACACGAATAAAACTGAAAACACAAAACATAGGAACTAAATATATTTGCCCTAATTAATTGGGATTGGGCCTACTGTTGAAAGGGTGCGCCAAACCAAAGTTGAGGAGTCGATTGACTCTATCGTTGCCTAAACTAGTCAGTCCAGGTGCTGGAACGCTGGAAGTTCTATGCGTGTTCTGCGTCATAAGAGGGAGGCGCTCAAGCGTTAATCTCTCGGAGTTGGAGGAGCTTCTACTACATTCGTCGAAGCTTCTGTCTTTTCATAGTCCGGCATCAGGTCGACCATGTTGAGGGCGTCAAAAATGTTGTAAGCTTCACTTAAATCAATCTTAAAAGCATTTTTATTCCAAAACACATCCTGATAGAATAAATATGCATTCTCTTTATGTACAACTTGAGCTAGAGTTGCGTATGGATGTAGATTCTCACATTGTAACTCTTAAATCGTTAAACCTGTAATTTGTTTCTTCCACTCATCATACTCAACTGCATGTTTCTAATAACAAATATGTCGAGAAAAATTAAATTTTAAAATAAAATCTATGGTAGGTTTGATCATACTAAAGTATAACTACTCAGGAAAGACCTCTTCTTATTCTTTGGTAGGACTTAGATCTCATTGTAGGATGTTCTCTCCCACCAAGCTTTCAAGGAAATTTCCAGCATTGTGTTTCGTCTCTCCTTTTTAGCCATATGTTGGTGGGTACACTGCTGAATTGAATTTAATATATATAGTCTCCCAATAATAGCTCAGAAGCTCATCATTTCTGACATTTCAAACCACTTTAATGGGTAATGACTCAATAGGTGAACTGTCGGTCAAGATTTCTGGGAAGTCCATCAATAGGATTTGTGCCTTCTTCAGGTATCGTTTCTTTGGACTCACTATATTCTTGAACTACTAGTGTTAATTCTGCTGAGGCATCCCTTGGACTCGACTTGAATTACGTGTATCTCTCCATCTATAGTTGGTAAGTGGTACTCTTCCTTTGTGTCATCACATTCTTCAGTGTCTACCGTGTCATTATGGTGGGATATCCTGGTACTCAAAGCACATTCAACTATGCAGAGTCACTCGATGAACTTGTCCGGATCCTTAGGATCTTCAAAATGTGACAAATTCACCTTTACTTCAAAATTTTGGGTTCTCTGATATTTTATGTCAAATCTTCAGGGTCGTAGTTCTTCATCTCTAGAAGCTGCATGGTGGAGTGATTTACTGCATTCTTTTGATCTAATAAGTTATCATCATAGCTATGGGTGACCCCTTTTAAATTGCCTCATCTCGAAGGTAACAAGCTTCTGTTACAGTTGGAGGATTTCATGCAACATATCGTTTATAGAAGGTTTCTTGACATCTTTTTGTAGATTTCTCATAAATGACATTGTGACATTTCATCTGGATCAGGTCTCCGACAGTTGTCTCTTTAGTAGTGTGATTAGGGTTTGAGTGTGAGTTGGTGGTATATGGTATATGGGTGTGATGTTGGGTAGGAAAGAATTTTTTTTTTATATGCGGTGAATAAATAACAAATTAACTACACATAAACATGAAGTTGCGATAAATGACAACACCAATTCAAATTCGAGTAGATCTCGAGGTGGTGATGGTTTTCAAAGAGGAATATTTGAGTATGCAATTGTTTGCTCATTTTGTGCTTTATTATTATTATTGTTTATTATTTGTGTTGTTAGGAGTGCGCAATGAGTACTTAGGTTTCTACTCCCAGGATAGGGATTGACAATTAGTTTCTAGTGTTATATGATTTTTTGTTGCATGGTAGAATTGGATGCAAGAAAAAAAATGTGATGAATTGAGTACAAGAGATCTATGGTGGTTTTATTCCTTCAATTTTGGGGAACCTTAGGAGTTTTGAGAATTTTTTTTTTAATGTGATATTTACGTACCTAGCTCATAATTCTTATGTATTTACATGTCTCACACCTAAACTTTCATATTTGTATGCATAACATGATATCAGAGTTTAATAAAGATTAATAATTAAATAAATATTATTACCTGAAAAGTTCATAGGTGGTTAGCAACTATACACTGAAATATAAATAATGACAAACACAACACCAAAATATTAAATTGTGACAAATGACAATTCAAGCTAGGGTGGTGGTGGTGGTGATCTATGAGGGTTTAGTCCTCCAAAGAGGTAGCAAAGGGTGGGGGAAGGGTTGGAAGGTATGGAACAACGAAGTGGAAGGCATGAGACAGGGGTGGTAGTTAAGCAGAGGGTTGGGACAGCGATGCAGCGACCTGAAACCTCAAAAATTCCGCAAGACATGCTATGTGTGGCGGCTGCAATAGGGAAATATGATGGCATTAGCGTAAGGACGGATGCATACGAAGGGAAGTTGAAGATAAATATCCCCTTGAGAGCGAGTTACTGCTAGAGCACCACTCGAACTTTGGAAGGGTAATCATCACCTTAAAACGAGGTACAGTCGGAGCACCACTCACCCTTAGATACAATCTTAGAAGAAAAAACAAGCGACATCAGCGGCTGTCCTGACAAAAACGCAAACAAAGCTAAAAATCTAAAACATTGGAACGAAATATATATGCATTCCCTAAATAATTTGGATTGGGCCCACTGTTGAAAGGATGTGGCAAGCCTAAGTGGTGGAGTCGATTGGCTTTGTCGTTGCTTGAACTGGTCAGTCTAGGTGCTGAAAAGCGGGAAGTTATGAACGCGTGCGTTCTGTGTTAGAATAGGGAGGTGGTTAAGTGTTAGTCTCTCGGAGTCGGAGGAGATTTTACTTCATTCATGTAACTTTTTGTCCCCCTCATAGTATGACGTTAGGTCGACCATGTTGGGTGCCGACAATGTGGTAAGCTCCGGATAAATCAATCTTGAAGGCATTTTCATTCCAAAACACATCCTGATAAAATAAATATGCATTCTTTTTATGCATAACTTGAGCTAGTAGATTTAGATTCTCACAAATTAACTCTCGAGCCATCAAATTTGTAATTTGTTTCTCCAAATCATCATACTCAACTGAGTGTTGCTTATAACAAATATTTCAAGAAGAATCTTCTTTGGAACAAAATCTATAGTAGGTTGGATCATACTGAAATATAACAAGTCATGAGAGGCCTTTTCTTAGTCTGTGGTAAGACTTAGATCTCGTTGTAGGATGTTCTCTCCCATCAAGCTTCCAAGGCAATTTCCAGCATTGTGTTTTGTCTCTCCTTTCTGGCCATATGTTGGTGGATATATTGTTGAACTGAATTTAATATCCAAATAACTCTATATAGTTTCTCAATAGTGGCTTATAAGCTTCTCATTTCTGACTTGTCAGACTAATTTCATGGGTAACCACCCAATAGGTGAATTGTCAGTCAGGATCTTTGGCAAGTCCATCAAAAGGATAGTTCCTTTTCAGGTATCGATTCTTCGGACTTAATATCTTCTGGAACAACTATTGTTAATTGTGTTGGGTATCTCTTGAACTTGATTTGAATTATGTGCATCTCTTCATCTACAGTTGGTAGTTGATAACCTTCCTTTATGTCACATTCTTCAGTGCTTATTGTGTCATTGTCTATTTCCTCAATTGCTCCTTGCTTAGTGAAATAAATCATACTTTTATTTGGGTAAGAAGATGCACCGTTCCCAAAATCGTGGCACTTGATGCACGTTTTCGAATTGGGATGAATTTGAGAATGTTGTTGGTTAGCTTCACTGATTCTCCACCCTGAACTAGTTTCTCCTTAAGTTGGGCTGGCTTGGATCTTCTCCTGGGTGTACAAGTTGCATGATCCTGGATTGAACTCTGTCAGTGAGATGCGACATTCATCTAATAATGTTCTCTTCACCTTTGATTCTAGGTTTTGAACATCTTGTATGTAAAAAACTAGTAGATACTGACTATGCATCTCTCATTTCATTTTTCACCAAGCTGTAATTTTACTTTTTCCTTCTTGCTATCAAAAAATTTTCAAATCTCTCCAAAAAAAGATGCACTCTTCCTTAACTTTTGGTGAATGTTTCACCATTTTTTTCCACTGGGACGTCTTGGTACTCAGACACATTCAAATGTCCAGAGTCACTCAATGAATTTGTTCGGATCCATTGGATTGTGAAAATGTGACATTCACTTTTACTTCAAGATTCTAAATTCTCTGATATTTCATGCCAAATCTTCGGGGCCGTGTTTTTTCATCTATAGGTGTTGCATGTTGGAGGGATTTTCTGCATTCTTTTGAT